TATTCATGTCAAGTGGATCTGGATCAACTCATTGAATAACTGATACACTAAATGATAGTTCATCAGATGTAAAAATTTGTAGAAGATAAACTTCTCATCACGAAACTAAGTCCCTGCTTTCATTTAGCAAGCCTGAAGTTCTCTCTGATCTTTCAGTCAGTCTCTCTTAAATATTCAGAAATATTCATACACTGGGAATTTTTTTTTTTTTTTTTTTGAGACAGTACTTTGCTACATAGTCCAGGCTGACCTTGAACTCACTATGTAGTCCAGGCTGGCCTTGAATTTGTGGCAATCCTCCTGCCTCAGTCTCAGTATTTCTAGGCATTTGCTTTTGGTTGAGTAGTTTTCATTCGTCACAGTTACTGCATCTTAAAGACTGCCATTTTGTCACTAATTTACTTAGTTCTGCTGCAGCTAGAGCCTGAGAGGAGCCCATTTATTTATTTATGTATTTTGTCTATTTTACGGAAAGGTCTACAGGGTGTTTAGGGACTCACTACTAGATCGGACCCATAGTGATCTGCCTGTTTACAGCTTCCCAAGAGCTGGGATTACAGGTGTGCACCCCCACACCCAGTCTCAATTGTCATTTTAGTGTGCCCTGGGGGCAGGGCCAGCACGGCCGAGGAGCCCATTTGTAATGGTAACAACTTCCATGTATAATGTTACATTCAAAGACAGTCCCAGGGATTAACTAGTACAGAAATTTTCAAAAAGACAAGGTCCTGAGATTTCTTCAGCATACACTGAATTCATTGGTAACACTACCTCAAAATATTTGCCATTGGGTTTTCTTTTTCTGTCTTTTGTATCAGGAATCGAACTCAGGACTTCACGCTTACTAGGAAGGCACTGTGTCACTGAGCTACATCCCCAGCCCTGGGTTTTCTTATTTAAAGGAATTAAATAGTAAGTTTTGTTAAAAAGGAAATAGCATGTTGAGTGTATGTACTTTCAATAAATGTAAAGTGGATAACTAATAACTTTGAAAAATAAACCAAATTTTACAAACTCAGAGTTGATTATTATTTTCATATATTAAAGAATTATCCTACCACTATATAGGATGAAATTCTGGATAAAGCAGATTGAATAACTCAGCTCAGTAACAAAGGTTGTTCATAAAGATAGCTTAGTTGACCAGTATTTTTCAAGTTTCAATGCTAAATATTCCCCCAACAACAACTGTAAGAGAAAATTGGGTATTTTTATTGTATGTGTTATCCTTAGAATAAAAATGATTGAAAACTGAATAAAGAGACTCACTTGATCCCTGACACTATAAGTGATTTGAGACAGTCTTTTGAATCTACTAAAAATTTTACCATGGAAGAATTCATTTTTTAACCAAAGATATACTTGGATGAGAAAAGCTTCTATCTTAAGCTAGTCTCTGGAAGGAGTACTTATAGATGTTTTTGTTTATATTCTAGACTGATTGACCCTGTTTGGAAACTAGGTATGTGATCCAAGTACTAACTTACATGAATGCATCTTTTCTACCTCCTTCTTTTATGTGGTAAGAGGCTAGGCCTTTAGGCCAATAGACAACCATTTTTCATAAACTCTCTACTCATTTTCCCCCATAGCTTTCACCTTTCCTGTGTTTTCTTGTGGTCAAGTTCAAGGGAGGCTTTCAGTCTTGACCATATGCTCCAATGAAGCACACTCCCTGCTTTGGGGGTTCTCTGTACATCAAACCCTACAGTAGTAAAGTTGTTCCATGTCTCCTATGGGGAAGTAATGGGAAGAGATAGGAGGTTGGGCAGCATAACTTGGGTATTTATGGGTCCCTGGCCATAGTCTCTCACAGTACTTAGCAGAATTCTCAGTGTGTCATCAAGCATGGTAGTGCACACCTGTAATCCCAGCACTTGGAAGGCTGAGGCAGGAGGATTGCCACAAGTTCAAGGCCAGCCTGGACTACATAGTGAGTTCAAGGCCAGCCTGAACTGTGTAGCAAGGTACTGTCTCAAAACAATTTCCCAGTGCATGAATATTTCTGAATATTTAAGAGAGACTGACTCAAAGAACAGGGAGAACTTCAGGCTTGCTAAATAAAAACAGCGACTTAGCTTCTTCTTCTTCTTTTTTTTTTTTTTGAGAAGTTTATCTTTTGCAAATGCTTAATAATGATCACAAGACCATGGTATCATTCACCTCTTCTGCATGTCTGCTTATCACTGCTGTCATCAGCCTATAGTGGTTATCAGAACAATACAAAAATACTTCCTTTCATGGGTGTTTTGGTTCTAAAAATATTGTGATATCAGACAGAGAGAAATTGCCTGGCCATTGGACAAGTTTCCCAAGTTGTTATATTCAGTACAATAGCATTTCACCATAACCTCAGGGGCCTCACTGTTTAATAAACCTAATAATCCCCTGAGACTTTCATAAAAAGTGCAGATTTGTGGCTCCACATCGAGGGTTTCTGATGCACCAATGTCCCATGGAGTCTGGAAATCTGCATACTGAGAACAACCTACACTGTTAGGATGTAGAAAACAATGCACTGGGGAGACAGAAATTTTTCCTTTTTGCATGACAATAAATAATTTTCACATTTTAAAAATGAAGAGTAGTGAAAAATTCAAATAAGTTTTCAAGAGCAAAAACCACAATATATCAAATTAATAGTGGTTTATCAATTCAGATTCCCAATAATGGGAACAATTAGGTAATGTCTCCAGGGGCATCATGTATACGGAAGGACAGCCCTGAAGACTGCGATGTTTTAGAGATCACAGGTACAGCAGGATTCTATTACAGTCCGCAGGCCTCATCTCAGCTCTGTGACTAACTCTGCCGTCTCCTTTTGTGCTTTAGACAGGACCCACTCAAGAATGCAGAAACGTACCTATAGTTTCTAATGAAGAGAAAGTAATCTAGGGAATTGGTTAAATGGGTATCAGAAAATTAAAGAGTTACAACGAAAACATTGGGGTAATCAGAAGACACTACCTCACCTAGGACTGGGAAGCAATGGGTTACCTGAAGCAAGAGCTTGGAGGAGATGATCATGGAGCTGACCCTTTCCAGCTGGTACCAGCACTCTGAGGGGTCTGATTAGGCTAGGAGGAGGAAACAAGCTGGAAATTGGAAGCAACTGTTACTGTCATAGGAACCTTGCTGGATGGCAAAAGAAAAATAGCAAATAAAACAAGGAGCAAAGCCCGCTCCTTCCTGCTACCCTGAAGCCTCCCTGAAATATCACCTATGGCAATGCTTAATGGCAAGGCAGCTGCCAGCAGAAATGTGGCTCTCAGAGTCTTAGTCCCATCCCTAAAAAGCACAGTGTACCGATAGGTCAACTTGAACCTGAGCAACAATAGTTTAACAGCCTGTACGGTCCACCCCTTTGGTTATTTAGCATCTGTAATACCCTCTCATACATAGGTGTATTTGCATACAAGAACAAAAACCAACATATTGTTGCATAGCAAGATGACACTGTGGCACAAATTATGATTCTCTGTTTTTCTTTCTGAAATGGGAGATACAAGGCTCAAGGAGCCCTTGTATCTTTTTTCCTCCATAATGCTAACTTCCTGGATGAAGGATGTGGATGGAGGGTGAGAAGGGCCCTGCTGATTGTTACTACTGGGGACATTCAGGAAGCCCTTCCTTGAACAAAGAGTGTACTCTTGCTTTCTGGGAAAGGAAGCTAAGGGACCAGGGAGATAGCTCAGTGGAATAAGGGCTTCCCTGGCAGGCTCAAGGGCCTGAGTTCAATCCATGGTTCTGCCAAAAAAAAAGGAAGCTAAGATCACATTTACCCATAAAAGAGAAATATCTGTTTCAATGAAAAATCTTTCCAGGAAAGGAAGCAACTTGTAGTTACTAACTCTTATGTGGGGGAGAAAATCCATGGGTTCAATTGGAAATTCTATGGTTGTGAAGGATGACACATGTCATTAGAGATCAAGCTGCCTTCTGCTAAATCAGCCGGGGTTTGGCTGTGAAACAGAACAGACTCAAGAACACAGCTGTTCACCTCTGCTTAGAGACCAAGAGCTATATAGCCACCATGGAGAGAAGGTCTAAGCCACGTCACACTTGATGCTTATGTAATGTGGGGCATAGGACAGTTTCCTGTGGCATCTTTCATCTCTCACAGTTGGAGCTACTCTCCAACTGTAGAAAGCAAAAGCCACATGAGGCTAGCCAAGAGAGAATGGGACCTCAGGGTGTGGTGAGAACTGTTATTAAAGCTTAAGTATTGGCATGATTTGAAAGTGTCTCTCCCATCTCCAATTCATAATCCCTAAATTCATATGTTGATGGCATTTGGAGGTATCACCTTCGAAGGAGCCATTGGGGATGGATGAAGTCATGGAGTGGGGCCCTATGATGGGATCAGTGACTTTATAAGCAGCAGAAGGGAAGGAAGACATGAATTGACACACTCCCTTGCTGTCACAATATAATACCTCCTGCCATGTTAAATGCAGCAAGCAGACTCTCATCAAACCTTGGCACTTTGATACTAGTCTTGCCTGCCCTTAGAACTATGAGAAATAAACTTTTGTTCTTTATAAGCTATGCACTTTGTGGAATTCTGTCAGAGCAACAGAAACTAAGACAAGCATCATTATAGCTAGAGATTCCTAAAGTGGATAGGAATATGCATACATTTAAGTAGCAGGTGTTCACCTATTTCTAATGCAGTGATCCATTGGCAAAGTTAGGTTAGGCTCCAGAACATGTGGTAGATACATCCATGTCCCCCCCACTCCACAGCTAGAGACGGCTTTGCCACTCTACCAACCTGGCTTTCACAGGGCAAAATAGGGCCACACAACAGTGCTTCACAAGGCGCTAGCAAAGCAGCTCCTGGCATCAGAGAGGCCTGAGAAGGGGCTTCTGAATGAGTGAATGTGGCTTAGAGAAACAGCCTACCACTGACTTGCAATGCGGAGACCTCCACTTGCTGGCAACCTGACCAAACTTCAGGCTTCATTTGTCAGACCTTTACTCATCTACACAAAGTTCAGCCCTCTGCGTGTTATACTCTGTTAAGCACAGGAGCCCAAAGTTCTTTTATAACTAGCCTGAGCCTGTGATTCCCCTCGGAGACGCGGGTGCTATCCGAGCAGCCATGGAGTCCAGCACCAGCCACCCAGATGACTTCCCTCTCAATGTGTTTTCTCTGACTCCCTACACTCCCAGTACCGCTGACATCCAGGTGTCTGATGACGACAAGGCAGGAGCCACCTTGCTTTTCTCAGGCATCTTTCTGGGACTGGTGGGGATCACGTTCACGGTCATGGGCTGGATCAAATATCAAGGGGTCTCCCACTTTGAGTGGACCCAGCTGCTCGGGCCCATCCTGCTGTCAGTCGGGGTGACGTTCATCCTGATCTCTGTGTGCAAGTTCAAAATGCTCTCCTGCCAGCTGTGCAAAGAAAGTGAGGAAAGGGTCCTGGACTCTGAGCAAACGTCAGGAGGACAGTCGTTCGTTTTCACTGGTATCAACCAGCCCATCACCTTCCATGGAGCCACAGTGGTGCAGTACATCCCCCCTCCTTATGGGTCTCAAGAGCCGATGGGGGTGAACGCCGCCTACCTGCAGTCCATGGCGAACCCTTGTGGTCTGCTGCCCTTCCCAGGGGCAGTAGGAGCCGTGCCGAGCCCTCCTCAGTACTGCACCATCTGCCCTCAGGACAATGCTGAGTTTGTGGAGGGCGAGGACTACTCTTCTGTCATGCACAGTGGAAATGGCAGGTATGCCGCATGTACCGGGGCCGCTCCCCTGCCCGCTGTCCCAGCCATGCTCTGTGCCTGTGTCTGGTCTCTGGGGCAGTGGTGGTGAGTGTAGACCCTTCTGCAGGCTGCTGCTCAGGATGGGGTCACCGATTCTTCCAAGGGGGCTTCGGGTTGTAATGCACCTGGGTTTTCTGCTTTTGTTTCAGGTCCAGCGCTGGTGCTTATGGGCAAGGAGAGACGCAGCTGGCAGAGGAGGATCGTGCCCGCTTCTCCCCTCCTCCCTATGAGGAAATCTATGTCCTTCCTCACTAGAGTCTCTGTTGCTAAGGGAATGAGCACAGATGTCACTGTGACCTGGCAACTGGAATGTCTTGTACTATTATCTTTAGAAGTCAAAGCAGAGCAGCCCAGGCAGCCTCACAGATAACGTTCAAGGTGGGAAAGGGAAAGGCAGCAGTGAGTAAAATGTCTCAGACTGGTAAGGATTAGGCTAAGTAGGAAAAGTTCCTTTAGATTCAGTGGCAAATTCTCTCTGGTAAGAAATTCTGTCTGTGTTACGTGCAAGAGCAAGCATTTCCCCTGTCCCTCAACATCCTGCCTTCTGTCTGTGGGAAGGTACTGGTGTCTCAGTTTTAACTCCAGCCAAGGGAAAATCTCGACTTCTAAGACCCAGGAGCTTCCAGGTGAAGGAAGGGGTGGGAAGGAAGCAGGGTCGAGAATGCAGGCTCAATCAGGAGTTGTCCAGTGCCCATCTGGGTCCCAAAGAGCTTCATCGCCAGGTGCTCTTCTGTGAGGACTCTTGCTATCTTAGGGGCTGTGAAATAAGTGAAGAAATAAAGTGGAATATGATGAAGTAATGTCTCCTGCTGGAATAGTATTGAATGTCTGACTAAACCCTAATGGTAGAATAATGTTGTAAACAAATGTACTGTGTTCTGGGTAAATGTTCTGGATCCATGAATAAAATCACTGGTGTTTTCTGCAAGGCCGAAACCTTCTGTGTGATGCATTTGAATGGGATCTTAGTCTACCCCAGTTCCAGGGTTGTGCTGGGCATGAACCTGGCCCAGTAGCCCGGAGAGCTGTGAAATTAAAGCAGAGCTGCTGTGTCAACATTGGAAAGTCACGCGTTACCGAAGCGATCTTACTGGCTGAGATGAGCTCATCCTCTTCACAGAGAGATTGAAGTCCTTCTCCTTGAATCTGAACTGTGTAATAAGCAACCATAACAGACCCACTGACTTTAGAAGAGGCAGTTTTAAAGCATTTGGGTTTAAAATAAAACATTTTCCTTAGGCTACAAAGGTAAGGACACTCAACAAAAGGTGTCTTATCCCAAAGAAAGATACAAACTTCAGCGATTCTTTTTAAGGTTTTGGTACTAAGTTTGTATAGGTAGTTTTTACTTTCTATTGAAATTCTGTAGTTTGTCAAGAACATGGGTAATTAGGCTTGGTATATTATTGTTTTGATTTATTTTATATATGAGGGGAAAAGCCTTTTATATTCAAGTTTGATGACAGATGATGGAAAAATGATTCCATTTATAAGTTCAGCTTATTAAGCTTTACATTTGAGAGACTGGGTACCTAGAGGAGGGCTCCAGGAAGGAAGTCAGATGACAAGGACTTGATTGGGCATTACTTGTGGCATTCTACAGGTAAATAAATGACTTGGGTCCCACAGGCCTGTTTCACTCACCATTTTTCTCCACCTCCACCTATCTATGATTTTTATATATGTGTGAGTGAAAAAAGTATGGTCAGTTATCCCTGCTATAATTTATCCAAGCATCCTCTTGGTCCAATTGATAAATTTTTAAATTAAGGTCTCTATAAGAAAAGAACTAAGTGAATGATACCATGGCTCTGTTAGATTGACTGGAAGCCGAACTCCAGGCATCCTGTCCTTGATCACTACTGTGGAGTCATTGGAAGGATGTTCAGGCAATATACAATGGGTCAGATAACAATTAGTGCTGAGAACATATTTTGTTTCCACTATTCTTTTTCTTGTAATAGTACATAAGGATCACAAACACATATGTTTACTTTTATATATCCATGTCCTTGTAATACTACTTTGGTTTTCCCTCCACCTGTCGGCTGCAGATTCCCAGTCTGCATCAGCCCAGCATGAAAAGGTAGGTTTGGCTTCCATAAAGTATGTGGTATGGGCCCAGTTTTGTCACTGATAATGAGTCTGGAGATGGGAGGATTGAGGCCTCTACTTAACCATGCAGCCCTGGACAAGGCCTCTGAGGTCACAGTTTAGTCTGGAGAGAGTGAGAAGGAAATCTCATGTCACTCTTGATCTTTTCCCAGAAGGAATCTCCTGGGGGACCAGTCTACCAGGGAATAATTTAACTTGTGTGTAGCCCATCCATGGCATGGATCCCTGCAAGTCTGCCAAGGGCCCAAATGGTCTTCCTCAACATGAGGACCATGAGCTTCTGGAATATAGATAGGAATGGTAGATTTAAAATTTCTTACAAGGTTACCATCTGAGAGAATAGAATGTAACATTCATAAGGCAAATTGTCCTTTAGGCAGTTGTACTTTCCAAGTTTGATCCACAGCCAACAGGCAATGGCTAGCATCTTGCTATAGATGGGCCACACCCACAGGTGGATATGCAAAATGAGATGTAACATTAAGCTTAGTCTGTTCTTGTAAATGCAGAGGCCAATATATATATATATGTTTATTGCTTTATATAGAATGGAAAACCTGTGGGGGCCTGTCTGTCCATGTAAGAGGTCTAAGCAAGGGTGGATTAGGTGTGTAGGACCAATAGTCTTCTCTCTAAACCATAGGAAAGCATACTGTAGCTATTAGGAAGGTAGGAGGGCAAGGACAGCAAGGAAAAGATTTTCAAGTGATTGACCCAAACCCTGGCAACTGACTAGGTGGGAAGCCTCACTAATGGGCCGCACAGGCTTTCCCAGGACAGAGGATGATGTGCTGTCAGGTTCATGGCTCCGGGTCTTGGCAGACAGCTTGACCTGTTGTGCAAGCAGGTTGGATTCTGGCCATGGAACAGCTCTGATGGTCTCACTGTCTCTCGGCTTCCTGTGGAAATATAAGCATAACCTTGGCCCCAATTTATTTATTTAAATTTTATTTATTTATTTATTTATTTATTTAGTGTGTGTGTGTGTGTGTGGCCAGCTCAGCCCACCAGGGGGCGGGGCTGGCTGGCATGTGGTGCTGGGGGATCGAACCGCGGTCCCTGAACTTTGCCAAGCTTGTTCCAAGTAGGTGCTTTAGACCACTGAGCCATCTTACCAGCCCCTCTTGGCCCCAATTTAGAAGTGATGCTGGACCATTCCAAATGCCACCTGCTTGCTAGATGAGGAGGAGAGTGTGGTACTCATGGAAGGAGCCATCTGGTAAAGCACCATGGGAAGCGGCAGTAGAAGGCACATACAGGCTATACAAACCTTATTTTCCTGCTGCCACTGCCACCCTCATACAGAATGCAACCCACACCCAAAAATCACACCCACCAGCTTTCCATCCTGCCATTGTGACTTTATTTGGGGACTTCAGGGGCTGGCATGGAAACCCACTGCAGAGCTCCACTAGATTCTCTGGTGTTCTGACTAGCAGGATCATGCTTTCAACAGAATTTCAGTCTTGTCACTCAGATGGCTACCTCTGATCTCTCTCCCTCCAAGTCTTGTGGGGTGCAGAGTGTGAGACTGTGATGGGGGATAGTGAGCTGTGGCCAGTCTCTGGGGTCCTCTGCCCAAGCTTAGAGCAGAGTAGTGCTGGCCTGGAGAAGATGCCTGAGTCTACGGGGCCCTGTAGGCCTTACCTGCCTTGTCAGGCATTCTAGGCTCTGTCTGAAGAGCAGCTGGGAAGCCATCAATAGGTGTGTTTGATGAAGCAGCAGCTACCATCAGAATCTGGATACTTTGGAACAATGACCTTGCTAGGCGAATTCAGAGCTGAGTGACTAGAACATATCCTGGAAGCCAGCTTCGTGTCCTCTGTGCTCTTGGACTCCATTGTGGTCGTGTAGGTAAGCAATCTACAGAGAATTCAGAATGAGGATGTCAATCAATGGAAATGACTCTTTAAAAAAATGTATTTAGTACAGGGTCTGACTACACAGATCAGACTCATAGTGATCCTCCTGTTTTCAGCCTCCCAAGCACTGGGATTACAGGTACGCACCACCACACCCAACTTCAGTAGCTGTCTCAGCGCATCTGGGGGGCAGAGCCAGCAGGGCATGTGGTGTCGGGGATTGAACCTTGGCTGCGCTTGTCTAACTTTGTTTTTTGAGATAGGGCCTCAAAAATATGTAGTCTAGGCTGGCTTTGATGTCATTATGTAGCTCAGGCTGGCCTCAAACTCATGACCATCCTCCTGCCTCAGCCTCCTGAGTGCTGGGATCACAGGCATGCCCCACCACACCCAGGGCAAGAAATGACTTTTTAAAGAACTTCACATTTCTGGAGACATCTTTTAGGAACCAACTGGGGCAGGACTTTTAGCAGGCAAGACTGATAACAAATGATGATTCTAAAGGGGCAAGAAAGAGAGCATTTAGATTTGAGAAATGAGGCCCCAGTGTCAATGGGAAGACATTTTCAGAGTGCCTGGGACATTTCTTCTCTTTTAGGCCATTGGAAGCAGTAATCTCTTCTGGAAGCCTAGAGACTTCCTTCTCTTATCTTTTAACCCCAGTGAGCTGGGATGGGTTTGAGTTTCTATTCACCATGTGGTTCTGTACCACAAAACCAGCCCTTTCAATACTTTCCTTTCTCTCTAGATACATAAAAAGAAAGCCTCTTGTTAAAAGAAACTGGCTTTGGGTGTCTGCTTTCAAGTTCAGATCTCTGGGGCTCCCCTTGGTCTCCTCACTGTTACATCAGTGGCGTGAGATCTTGATGAAGCCAAATATTGTGGAGTTGCTCCCTCCCAAGCAGAAGTCCCTCGCCATAGCAAGGGTGACATCTTCTTGCCAACACAGAGAAGAGAGGCTCCTGAATACATCACAGAGGCTGGTGTGCTCCAGAGCTCAGCGGTGCCCCGGCCTGTCCCCTGGGTGCTGTGTGGCTGTGCTCACAATACCAAATCCACAGAGGGAATCGAGCACACAATACACCCGAATTCCACTGCAGCTGAACAAGAAATGTGAAACTGATACACGAAGAACTTTCCAAACAGATAATAAACGACTAATCCTGCTTGTTAGCTGTTCTATTGTTTTTAATGTGATGACAAATTTCAAATACAAAAACAGTATATGAAACCGTATGTTGCCACCATCCAATTTTAATGACTATCAATTTATAACCTTACCCATTATTAATTAAATTTTATAAAGCAAATCCAAGACATCAAATTATTTTATCCTAAAATATTTCATAGTATATATTTAAATGATGAACTCAAGACATAATTACAACACCATTATCCCACCTAAAAATTTACAATAACTTTCAGGTCATCCAATATGTAGCCAGTATTCAATTTCCCCAATCTTTTTGTCCCTTATCTTTTCCTCTTTGTTTGGCTCATATTTGTGCTATCGGGAAGGCAGTTTGCAAATTCATGACATTAGATTTATATTTACTAATTTTGTGGGGATACCAGGAATCAAACTTAGGACCTTGGGCTTGCCAGGAGGCACTCTGCCACTGAGCTATATTCTTGACACATTTACTAAATTTTATATCATTTCCTTTATGTTTCCTCTATCAGCTTTATGAAAGAGTAGGACCACACTAGGATTACCCACCCCTAGAATTGGATTCTTTTCCACTATTAGCATATTACTAGAGTTTTTCCCCCCTAAATATAGACTTTAAAAAAGTACCTGAAAAAAGAGAGATCTTTGAATATTTAGTAGAGAATTTTTGGTCACAGGAAAGCTTCAGGATTATCAGAAGACTTTGGCAACCTTCAGCATTTTTGGCTTGATTGGTAAAGATTTTAATAGGAAAATGTTTTTCCTTTAGGGACTATAAAACT